GCCACCGCCACCGCCACCGCCACGGCGGCGGCGAGTGCTACGACGACGAGGGTGGCGACGACGACGACTGATAGTCTGATACTAGTAGTGATAGCAATGCTAAGAGTCAAACTTGATCATGAGAATCGTCATACTAGTAATACAAAAGGATTAATGATAGTAATGGTAGTACTAACCGTACTAACACAAACAATAACAAAGACAATAATAGCAATAATAACAACACAAACAACTAGCATTTGAACCTCGATCCCACTGGAGCTAATAGTTGAACCCATGCGCCAAGAACCTTGAAGACTTGANNCCCCCCCCCCCCACCCCCATCCCAAATCCGAAACCCCCGACCGATTCAGCCGCAACCGATCGGTGCCGGGTTCAGGCTTTTGGCCGAAACCGGAAACCGAAAAGCACAAGCCTTGAATCCGAGGCCAGTCACTGTAAATCCCCAATCGCATGAAGATTAGAGCAGGAAGAATATACCCTGAACAGCAGCTCCACAAGATGTTTGCAGGGTCTATAGGGCTTAAGGCCATTCAGGAATACCATCCTCTGGAAGTCCATGTATGTGTATTGTTTCATTCATATTATCACCATATAGAAACCCGATACATTCCACCAAGCATCCAACAAAACCCTTCTCTGATCATTAACGCACTTCTACTGACACCCTGATCATCACCCTCCCTTAGAACCCTTTCAAGAACACCCAAAGGACTAGTAAGGCAACCCCGAACCCTAAACCCTACGCTAGGCTATCCGGAGCTCCTCTCTACCTACAAAGCCACGATGCGCGTTTCCGGCCGGACCCATCGGCTCCTCAAGAACACCTGGCGTCAATGCCTCTTGGGCTTCTCTAGGGCTCTAGGGGCCTCGAAGAAATTTGTGGCAAGCCTAGGGTTTAGGGTCTAGGGTTGAGGGTTTAGCTTCTTTTGAGCTTCGGGCTTAGTGGGTCTATTTGCTGCTTTAGGTTCCGCCCTTTTCCTGTTTCTTCAAAACCCAAGAGCAAGAGGCTGAGAAAGATGGGCAAGAGGCGTGAGAGGAGTAAGAGGACTACGTACACTTCGAAGAGTAGCGGACGTAGATAGGTAGGTCGGTAGGACGGTAGGTGATAGTAGTTAGGTAGGTAGGTAGGTGGGTAGGTAGGTAGGTAGGTAGGTAGGTAGGTAGCTAGGTAGGTAGGTAGGTAGGTAGGTAGGTAGGTAGGTAGGTAGGTAGGTGGGTAGGTGGTCGGTGGGTAGGTGGGCAGGTAGGTAGGTAGGTAGGTAGGTAGGTAGGTAGGTAGGTAGGTAGGTAGGTAGAGGTAGGCAGGTAGGTAGCAGGTAGGTAGGTAGGTAGGTAGGTAGGTAGGTAGGTAGGTAGGTAGGTAGGTAGGTAGGTAGCAGATGATGTGGTGGTAGTAGTAGTAGTAGTAGCAGTAGTAGTAGTAGTAGTAGTAGTAGCAGTAGCAGTAGCAGTAGTAGTCGTCGTAGTTGTAGTAGTAGTAGCAGCAGCAGCAGCAGCATCAGCATCAGCAGCAGCAGCCCTCACCGCAGCAGGACGGACTGGCAGTGGCAGTCGTGGACGAGTTCGTCTGGTTAGTGAGTCGACACGGTCGTAAGGATCGATGTCGTCCTCAGGGTCGTCATAGCATAACCAAAATCCAAGAGCTTTGTGCACCTGTAACAGTTAAGAAACCCTAAGCCCTCAACCCTAAACCCTAAACCCTCAACCCTACAGTAAACCCTAAACCCTAAACCCTACAGTAAACCCTAAACCCTACAGTAAACCCTAAACCTGTAACCGTACAGCAAACCCTAAACCCTAAACCCTCAACCCTACAGTAAACCCTAAACCCTAAACCCTAAACCCAGAAGTGTGACAAATGAGGCAGCAATTTGGTCGGTGAGCTCGCCTCTACGCTGGCCGACAGCGGCCGAGCTCAAGTTCAGATTTGATGGAAGATGTTTGGGGTTTAGGGTTTAGGAGTTTGGAGTTTAGGGTTTAGGGTTTCGTAGTTTAGGGTTCTGGGTTTAGGGTTTAGGGTTTAGGAGTTTAGGAGTTTAGGATTTTGGGTTTTAGGGTTTAGGGTTTTCGGGTTTATGAGTTGGAGTTTAGGGTTTATAGGGTTTAGGGTTTTCTGGTTTAGGGTTTTCGGGTTTAGGGTTTAGGAGTTTAGGGTTTAGGAGTTTGGGGTTTAGGGTTTAGGGGTCGTCGCTGTTGGTGGTGGTGGCTTGGGTATTGGCTTATGCGCTCGACGCCGAGATCTCGAAGCCTTGGGGCGTCGCCTTTGCAGTCAGTGCCGGTTCCCTTAGGGTATAATGTAGGAACCTGATTAAGAAACCCTGGGTCTTTTTATTGTTCCTTACGTGAATACTACCATTGTGGTTTTCTATGACCAGGGTTTCTTGATCAAATTTTGGGGCTCCGGTGCTGCAGTCAGAAAATCATTGGACCACAGGGCTGAAGAGGTGAAAGCACAGGAGCCTCGTGAGAAGCACCACATGTTCTGAACAGCAGCTGCGCCCCAAACCCTAAGACCCTCAGTAAAAAACCCCGTAAAACATACACTTCAAGCCGCGAGTATCGAAGCCTCACAAATTGGTAAAGGTTCCCCAAGGATTCTTAAAACATAGGACTCTGCTAGAAACTTACCAAAAGCCCTGTGATAAGTATGCAGGCCCCCTTTGCTAAGCCCTGAAAGTCACACTGGTGGTACCCCTTGGAAGAAGCCCCCTGAAGGAACCCCAGCTCCAACCATGGAGGCCTCCTAAACCCTAAACCCTAAAACCCCTAAACCCCTAAATCCTAAACCCTAAACCCTAAACCCCTGAACCCTAAGCCCCTAAACCCCTAAATCCTAAACCCTAAACCCCGTAACCCTACACCCTTAACCCTAAACCCCTAAACCCCTAAACCCCTAAATCCCTACACCCTAGGTGATGCTTTCAACACCTTTTTGGAGAAGGAGGGCTGCGCTTCTTCCCTGGCGATGCAGACCAGGTTCGAACCAGGGGTTCGGGGTTGACAGGGGTTTAGGGGTTTAGGGTTTAGGGTTGACAGGGGTTTAGGGGTTTAGGGTGTAGGGGTTTAGGGGTTTAGGGGTTTAGCGGTTTCGGGTTTAGGGTCTCATTCAGGGTTGACAGGGGTTTAGGGGTTTAGGGTGTAGGGGTTTAGGGGTTTAGGGGTTTAGCGGTTTCGGGTTTAGGGTCTCATTCGGGGTTGACAGGGGTTTAGGGGTTTAGGGTGTAGGGGTTTAGGGGTTTAGGGGTTTAGCGGTTTCGGGTTTAGGGTCTCATTTAGGGTTGACAGGGGTTTAGGGGTTTAGGGTGTAGGGGTTTAGGGGTTTAGGGGTTTAGGGGTTTAGGGTTTAGGGCTCAGGGTTGACAGGGGTTTAGGGTTTAGGGGTTTAGGGTTTAGGGTTTAGGGGGCTTTATGGGCTAAAGGGCTTAGGGCTTCAGGTTTGTTGGCGTATCGTTACGGCCAAGTAGGGCTTTGGATTTAAGGGTTTTGGAGTTTAGTGTTTCGGGTTTTAGGTTTTAGGGTATGGCGAATTTCCTAAATTCAATGCGGATTGGCTTTTCCGACACAGGTTTTGGCATTTTCGGTGCTCTCACCGGTACCAAGGATCCTGAGATTGCACTGAAGCGGAGGTCGTAGGCCTTCGGCCTCAAGCTTTAAGCGCCTTCCTCAACCAGAAGAGCTTTATAACGGTGTTGAAAAATACCAGTGCCTGAAGGGAGAATGCGCGAGTGAGACAGTGCTAGACGGGATAGCAACTTCAAGAGGCTGCAAAATGAGCCTAACACCGTGGTCCGACTAAGTATTCCCTTATGGTCATAAAACCTTGTTGTCATGGTACTGTTTGAACCCCAAACCCTAGGCCCCATAGCCTTAAAACCTTATAACCCCCCTTTATGACACCCTTAAAGTAAAGCAGCCCTTGTAGAACCCCGTGTAGAGGAAACCTAAACGGACCCGAAGGAGGCCTCGTTGAGGTCCCTTCTTTACACCCTGACAGGAAACCCTAAACCCTAAGACCCTTAATTCCCAACCCTAAATCCTAAACCCTGAACCCTGATCCCCAACCCTAAGCCCTGAACCCTAAACCCTAAACGCTAAACCCTGAACCCTAAAGCCTGAGCTCTGAAAGCCCTAAAGCCCTATAGACCCTAAATACTGAACCCTACGGCTGAACCCTGAACCCTAAAGCCTGATCTCTATAAACCCCTACAGTAGAAGCCCAAAAGTTGGAAACCCAATAGCCTCGATCCTTAAAAGTAATGTATAGGGAATCCCAGCACTAGTTGTCCTTAATCCGGTTTCCAACTTTTTGGGGGTTTACTATAATCTAAACAATAACCCGGCACTGACAGGAACCAGGCTCGCCTCGCCATCTCCGGGATGCGCCGCTGAGATTTTATCGGCTCTGGGCGCGCAACACTCGTAAAACCCCAGGCCCTAAGCACCAATGGAGCCCTTTAAAGACGCTTACTCCCCCTCCCCCAGCAACAAAAGCCCAATATCGGGGCATAAGGAGCTGTGAAGTTTTTGTCATTGTATGATTTGTATGAAGTGTGGGCTCGAGTAAGGCTTAAGGTTCAGGGTCTGAGGGGGTTAGAGTGATGGAGGGCTCCCAAGAGCAAGAATAACACTTATCGCAGGGGTCTGCATAACTCGATTAGGGCTTCTTTAAAAAGGCTTTTCGGATTCTTTAAAGGGGTTCTATAAGGGTTACTAAACAGGCTTTCAATACTCACCAATGCTACTCGAGTACGTAAGCAAGCCCGTGTCTCGTTCAGCGGCTAACATGGTTTAGGGCCAAAACGGCAAACCACCGGGTTTAGGGCTTAGGGTTTAGGGTTTAGGGTTTAGGGTTTAGGGATAATGATAAGAATGCGAATGATACTATTGGCACCAACCATGACAGTAATGGTTATATTCAGAACGATAGCAGCTATCATCATAGTGCTGGTGGTCATACTGATAATGTGTTCTGAACGGCAACTTTCATGCCCCCGAAGAACCCACAGAGCCCAATACCCCTTAATTAAGGAATTATACCGTAAATTATAGGGGCCCTTAACATTATGATTTAAGGTAAAATTCCTTAATTAAAGGGGTATTGGGCTCTCTGGGAAGTGGGAAGCTGAGGCCTGTTGTGGCACCGATTCTCGGTCGCAGGGCTGCCTGCCCCGGACACAGACATCCTCAGCGAAGCCGTGCAGCGTCTGGAGGAGAGCTACAGAGCCGCGTCCGCACATCAACGATCCCTCAACCCCTAAACCCTAAACCGTAAACCCTAGGCCCCAAAGCCCCAAAGCCCTAAACCCTTAAACCGTAAACCCTAGGCACTAAACCCCTAAACCCGAAACCCTTAAACCCCTAGGCCCCAAAGCCCTAAACCCGAAGTTATTAAAAGCAAAACCCCATGTTTGCTTTGTGGCCCCAAGAGGCTCGCGGCCTTGCTCCCGGGTACTGTAGGGTCCTGAACCATTAGCACTACTATTCCTTAGGATTCAGGGCTTAGAGTTTAGGGTTTAGGGTTTCGGATTTAGGGTTTAGGGTTTAAGGTCTAGGGCCTAGGGGGCTCCTAAAATTGGACTTATACGAAAATATATACGAAACCCTATTCTAAGTACTAAGGCCCACATATGGACCCAAGACCTTCGGGCTTCTGGGGTCAGGTTTCCTCTGTCTCGGTTTTTTGTCAGAATTTTCGAGCTTTGCTCCGAGAATCGTCACAGGTAAACGTAAGGGTTACAGTACATGGCCCCAAATGCTTTTGTAATAGGTATTTCGGCTCCTATAGAGGGAGTTGCTTTGGATTCTGTGCCTTCCTACACCAGGCTTGCTGTTCGA